AATCAGTCTCTTCTTTCTCCACTAAAGTGACAGCTTCTTGGAATCCTTTTCTTCTCAATTTATATTCTTTTTTTGGGATGACTTCATTCAGCCCCTTGGATCCAAATGCTATCTGTATTTCAAAATTCTAGTATTATCTTTTCTATAAATGCTAGACTCACAGATCCCAGTGTCTGCTAGACATTTCCACTTTGACTTTTTATAGTGAGTCTTTTGTTCTATCTTAAAACCTTGAGTGATCACAATAGTCATATATGAAATGCTGTGAACAGGAGAAATGGTCTTCCTCAGAAAAGAACACCCCCCCCCACCATTAGTTATCCAATACACAGTAGTCAGCCCTGAAATCATAGGCATTCAAGTTAACACTATATAGACTGAGCAGGTTGTATTTATGTACTTGGGAATATATAAATTTATGTATTTACAAATATATGAATATATAAAAAAACATTATCCCCTTTGACCCAGCTTTGGTACTCCTGTAAAATACACACACACACACAAACACACACGAGAACCCATCAATTTGAGAGAAAGCAAGGGGAGATTATGGGACAGGCTGTAGGGAGGAAAGGGATGGGGGAAATGATACAATTTTAAAAATTAAAAAATTATTTTAAAAAACCCAGATCTTTCAGAAACTTTTAAATGACTACTCATGGATGACAAAGATGGTTCATCTTATCACAGTGCTTGCTGCCAAGCTTTAGGACCTGAGTTTAATCCATAGGACCCATACAATGAAAGGAGTGAACTTACTCTTATAAATTGTCCTCTGGCCAGCAGTGGTGGCATGTGGCTTTAATCCCAGCATAGGGGAGGCAGAGGCAGAGGGATCTCTGAGTTCGAGGCCAGCCTGATCTACAAAGCGAGTTCTATGAAAGCCAGAACTACACAGAAACTGTATCTTGAAAAAAAAAATGTCCTATGACCTCTACATGTGTCAAGACGTGTGCATCCTTACACATAATAAATGTAACTTTTAGCATGGCAAGACACAACTGTCGTGAGTGAAGATTTTATATTGAGAGAACTCTAGAAATAAGTACACCATGCCATTCTGGAACACAGAGATAAATACCACTATAAGTCAGAAGGCAGAGAACAGGGAAAGCTTGGGCAAGAGCCTTTATTGTGAGAGATAGCCTTGAGAAAGAACAGGTGATGAAGGGTGAGTTAGGATAGGCTAATTGCATCAGCCTGTGGGGAATACAAGGGCTGACTCTCTCAATGTCTGAAACCTGGACCTGGAGCAATTAAAGGGAATAACTACCTAGGGTGTGAGAACCCAAGGTGAGGTATGACATGGAAAGAGGTGGTTGTAGGAATAGGCTCAGATCAGTCCTTTGCAAGTGAAAGGCGCACCCACTAGTGAGTTTGCTTAGACTTTAGCCCAGGGAAAGGTTTAAGTCCATCCAGAATCAGAGGTCAAAGCATTAAATACAGAAAGGAGAAATACATTTTATAATCCTTATGCCTCTAAGTTCAGCAATAATGACCCTTTCTATTCTTGGTTATTAATAGTTTCAGTATTTTTTTTTTGTCATTCTAGGTAAAGATTTGGTAATGTATTTAAAAATGTCAAAGAACTAAGTTGGTTTTAATGATTCACTTTCTTTTTCTAGTTTCTATTGTACTTCCACTATACTCTGTATTGCCTCCTGTCTTGGATATTACTTTCTAGTTTCTAAGGTAAGATATTAGGTTATTGATCTGAGATCTTTTCAGTGTAGGCACTGACAGCTATTCATTTTCCCTAAATAGTGTTTTCATTACAAGTTTTCTTTTCTTTTTCAAGTATTTACTTATATTATTTTGTATGCATGGGTGTTTTGCTTGCATTTATGTCTGTGCACCATGGTCATGAAGTGTCCAGAGGCCAGAAGGCATTGGATCCCTTGGAACTGGAGTTATTGATAATTGTGAGCCACCACGTGGGTGTTCAGAATTGAGCCTGGATCCTCTAGAAGAGCAGCAGGTACTCCTTAACATCTGAGCTGTCTCTGCAGCCGTTTTTGTATCTGTCTTAAAGTGTTTTCTAATTTCCTTTGTGAGCTTCCCTTTAACTTACTAAGAACGTGCTGTATAATTTCCACATCTGCTGAAATCTCTACATTTGTGCCTGATGTTAATCTCTAATTTCATTCCCTTAAGGCCAGAGAACACTTTACATGATTTGTAAATTGTTATGTTTATCATTTGTAAACTAGAAGAGGCTAGAAGAGGGCATCAGATCGCCTGGAAGTTACAAACATGTGTGAGCCACCATGCTAGGAAATGAATCCCAGGTCATCTGGAAAAGCAGCTTAAACCCTGAACCGTCTCCCAAGCTCTGCATTTATAATTTGAAGTGTTTGTGACTACTGTCTCTAAAATCAGATGGAATAAGTTACAAGCTTTTTATTTCCTCATAGTTACCTTTACTGGTGCTTTTTCTCTAATGAGTTACTGTTGAGTGGCCTTTTCTCTCACTATCACTGAGGTATGGCCTCTTTGGGGGGGGTGTCCATGTATGGGTGGGGGCAGCGGTGCTTTCTACCTTATTTTAGTTTAGTATATATATATCATAACCAGTTATGACTCCAGTACTCCAGTACTGGGTAATCAAATGCCCTCTTCTAACCTCCTTAGGCACCAGGCACACACATAGTGCACAGATATATGTGCAGACAAAACACACATAAAATAAAAGAAACAGTTCCTGACAAAGCCAGATAGAGAGCATCAGTAAAGAAACAAATTATAAAGAACTGAGTAGCAATTTTGTACAATAACTGAATGGAGAAGCTGAATGGATATAGTATATATCATACATATATATGTATATGATATATATGTATATATATGATAGATATATGTATATAATATATATATAATATACATATATATATACAATATATATATATATATATATATATATATATATATATATATATATGATATATGTGTGTGCCAAAGCACACGTGTGGAGGTCAGAGGACAATTTTGGGGATTTAGTTTGTCTCTCCATCCACTTTAGGTTGGCAGGCTTGTTCAGCAAGCACTTTTCTCTATAAGTCATCGCACCAGTTCCCACCTTATTATTGTTGTTGTAGTTATTGATGCAGGATCTCTCACTGGGACCCCGAGCTTGCCAACTGGTCTAATCTAACTCCGTTTTCTTTTTTTTCTTACATTTTTGTAGTAATACCCCCCCCCCCACCTTCCTGAGGATTGAACCCGGGGCTATACCCTCAGTTTTTGATTTTTTTGTAGTATTTTATACTTAGAATTTTACAATCACTTTAAATTAATTTTATAAGTACTCACCTCCCAATTTTCAGCCATCAGCTTTTCTTTTCCCACTTTTCTAGTTCCTCCTACACTCCGCTGTAACCAAAATGTTGAGCTTCCTCTATGCTCATTCAAAAACATCTGACTGCTTACACTTTCAAATATAGGCTGGCCAAGAACTCAAGAGATTGCCTGCCTCAACCTGCCAAGCGCTGGGATTAAAGGCGTGCCTCTTCACACCTGGTTTAAAGAAAAAAAACAAAACAAACAGAAAAACAAAACAAAGAAACAAAAAAACAAAACAAAAAACAAGTGTATGGGTATTTTGCCAGTTTGTTCACTACGTGTGTGCCTGGTGTCCGAGGGGTCCAGAAGCAGGGAGTTGCATCCCCGCCCTGGAACTAGTTACAGGCAGTTGTGAGTTTGTGAGCTGCTCCGCGGGTGCTGAGAGTGGAGCCAGGGTCCTGTACAAGAGCAGCAAGTGCTCTTACCCCGTGAGCCACCTCTGCAGCCCCAAGGACTATTTCTGCATAAAGTCGAACATATGGATGTCCTTCTCGGCAAAAGACAAATTGAACATGTTTGCGAAAGCCGTACAGTCTGAATAACAGTCACATTCTCAGTCTGTCCTCTCTTGAGAACACGATTTCCCAACGCCTCGATTCCCTGAGGAAGGACTGGGGGTGCCAAAAGTCATTCCTATTTTAGTAGGTAGTCCCCATTCACTTACCCCAGTAAGGTTTAACCGGCAGGGACGGGGGAGTCTTTTCCGGTGAAGTCTTGAGCTAAGTGCCCAGCCTTTATTGAGAAGGGGCAGGGGAGCGGGGTCAGGCCCTTTAGAGCCCGGGCCTACCCTCTCGTGTGAGGCATACGGAGTCCGCCACAGGAGCGGGCACTAGAGGACCGTTTAGCCGGTCGCGCCCTTAGCAGCGGTGCTTGTTCCGAGGGCGGTGGGTCCGCCCCGCCGCTGCGGCGACCCCTGAGGCCCCGGAGCTGGCCGCGGCCGGCGGCGGCAGACACGCCCCTCAGCCCCCGCCAACCGGCCGGCGCCTTCTGGAAACTTCGTCAGCCCCTCGAGGTCGACGTCGCCGCCTGAGCCTCGCCGTCACCGGGCCCGGCCGACGGCGCGTCTCGCCCCGCGGAGCGCCGCCTGGCAGGACGCGGACGCCTCGCCCTCAGCCCCGGGGCCGGCCGCGTGAGCAGCCGCGGGCCGCGTGTCCGGCCGCGCGACGCCTCGAAGGCAGCG